ACCTCAATCTTTGCCTGCTCCTTAAGCTGATGCTTCTTCTCCTTAAGTTCATTGATTGCCTGGCTTGTGTAACCCATATCATGGGATTTCTGCCCATCCTGATAATCAAACAGCTTGGATACATCATCCACGAGCTGATTGTACTGATTGCCAAGAGAATCCAGCTCCTTCAGTTTCTCAACCTCTATCTCATGAGCCTCTTTGTCTTGGACTCTACCAAGGTTCTCCTCATGATACATATCCGAGAGCTTGGTTAAGCACCTTTGCAAAATTACAGGCCAAGGGGCATCTACCCACTCTAAAACACCATAGTTCACACCATCCTGAAAATTCAGTTAAATTTACAGTGAGCTTTATTCTTCATTAACAAACATATTCACAATAACAAATCATAAACAGTAGTCATATATGTAGCTACACTACACTAGCTAACTCTATACTACAAATTATAAATCAGTGCTATGTCTCCATTGCTCTTTGCTGCTCTTTGCTACAAGTACATAATTTAGACATAGTAATGTTCTTATAATTAAGCAAAAATGAGAAAAGCAGCAGCATTATTTAGAAAAGCACAAAATGAATCAATCACAGCCATGACAACTTGGTTCATTACCTCAGTTGCACATCCTATGAATCTTCTGCCAGTGTCAGTGCCTTCAAATGCCACAAATTTGTCTGCCCTCTCCCTGTGCAGGATGCACCTACGGTCAGATTCAGTCACAAGCCCAGAAAAGCTTGGATCTATCACATTATCTAGAGTTTGTTGCAGCAGGAAACACATATATATCAACTACAGCTCACATATATGAACTTAAATGGAGAAATCCCAATCCTTCTTCAAACCCTAACCCTAACCCTAGCAGATGAGAGGAGAGATTGAGCTGACTTACAAAATATTCCATCTGCATGCTACTGAACTCGCTCATGTACTCGTCATCGTCAGAGGTCTCGTTGCTGTTGGGCCACGACGGCATGGTCGGGCGTCGCCGGAGTGCGAGAAGAAGAAGAGAAGCAGTGGAGAGCAGAGGAGCAGAGTGAGCGGGCGAGTGAGCTCGGGGGAGAGTGAGGTGGGGAGGACAACGAGCAAACCGGTCGGCCAGGTTAGTCCTGGTCCGACCGGGCCCCACCGACACGCGCGGCTAACGGGCGGCAGGCGAGTGCCGTTAGACGTTAGCGCGGCCGCCGTCCTGGCCGGTGGGCCAGATCTGTCAAAAAGACGTTTAAAACGCTTCAATTGGTCATCAACTCGATCTGATAGTTTTTTGTCACGAAATCAGCACTAAACTAGAGTTTTTGATCAGTTTTCAAAATGTGATAGTTCTGTGGGACAGTTACGTGAAATGTAGTAGTTTTTTGTCAATTACTCTGATTCGTTGGACGACTGGTTTCAACATTTCCTTTTCGCACGCAATTAAACATGACTGACGCACTGAAGTATAAAATACAAACAAACTCCCAACTGATTCCACTTCGCACAAATTTGCAGTACATCAATCACACATGATCCCATGGACAAATTTGCAGTGGTACTACCATGGTGCTACTACTTGGAGGTTGGATGACAGTCGACAGATGACCACAAGACAGTTAGGCACCGGCGGCTTTGATTATTCGATGACGCGATAAAAATCAACTTTGATTACCCTAATCAGCACGGTTGATGACTATATTGAGCTGGTGCAAGTGCTGATGCGATTTATTTCATGTGGTTGGGACGTGAATCGTCCTGCTCGCGCGTTCACCAACACAAGTACGTACGCAAGATAAAAGGTTTATTAAACGATCCGTTCGTTCAAAGTTAAAAAAAAGGGGGTTCATTAAACGGCAATGCCTTAACAGATGCTTAGGAATCACGTAAAGGTTCGACCCCTTCCGTTCTAGAGTGTTCGCGAACACGAGCCAAATCCCTAACACTAACAACGCCTTAACTAATGGCACGTACAGGAAGTTCAGGAACACAGCAAGGCGTCAAAGCCATTTCGGCGTGCCAAACCCTAGTTAACCTCGCATCTGGTACGTTAGGTGGAAGTAGAATTGGGGCAAGCGGACGCAGCGCATCTGTTCAAGCAAGAAGAATGGACACCGATCACTGCCCACGTACGGCGGCGCATCCTCAACGCGCGCCGCTGCTAGCTGTGCATGCATGCATGGTCGACACGACGACTGCGCCGTCCACGCGGCCGGTGGGTGACCACCGTTGTCCTCTTGCTCCGAGCGGCAAAGCGGTAGCTCTTGGCCGTCATTCGTAATGGCGGCAGCAGGTCTGTGAGTCTGTCGAAACGTGCCAGGGAGTGCGCGCGGTCCATCGGCCGCTTCGGAAACCGGGGCGTCCGGGGGTCACGGGCCGCGGTGGCCGGCACGAAGACGAGCACAGCTCGCAGATTGATCGGCTTCCACAGTTGATTGATCAATTTAGCGGAGGGTTTGTCTAAGATGTTGCTCCACCAAAATCTCTCATTCCCTGCCAAAACCCTAACCGGCTAGTGCAAAAAAAAAATATCCTCCAGACTTCACCAGCAAGCCCGTGGATCAGCTCCGCACTGCTTGTCGCATCGGTGGTCGGTGGCGGGAAGAAGAATACTGGTGGCTCCGCTTCGGTTATTAGTTTAGGTTAGTTTTTTTTGTTCTTAGTGTGATGATCGGGCGGACAGTGGCGCTTCTTGTTTAAGTTTGTTTGGGATTCAATCCATCTCGAGTTATGTCCATTTGGACGTAGTCGACGTACCTCCGGAGTATATTCCTGTCGTTTTCTTGGGGCGGTGAGGTTAAAGTTTATCGTCATGCGATGAGATTTTGTGCTAGATGCTTCAGATCTATGCAAGTCAAGGCGACAATTGTGGGTCCAGAACGCTAGTCCTTAGGGACACATGCACAAAAACTTCCCGGCAGTCATTGATAAGGTCAAACTGTCTCTGGTATGGAAGTGGCGACGGCGGCGCGTCAATGGCTCGGTCTGGCGGTAATATTGGTCGTTTGGTTGTGTCGAATTCTTGATATAGTGTTTGTGATGCTCTGTATCCTGATGAACTTCTATAATATATTCAACCATTTTCGAGAAAAGAAACCTCAATCGATTTCACAGAAGCTTTGTTCTACGAAGAAAATCCGATTGAGGTTTTGCTTGCCAATGGATTGAAAAAGTTAAAATATCTCCAATAAAAAATGCAAATTTAAAGATGTAAAACAGGAGATATAAAATTTACATCTCTAAAAAGTGTTCTACATCTCTAAAAAAGAGGCAACTCCAACAAAAGATGTAAATTGATGATGTAAAAGTGTAACTCCAAACAGATGATGTAAATGAAGATGTAAACTAGCTATGCCACCCGTGGCCATCAAGCACGTCGGAGTGCCTCGGGTTTGCTCTACAGGTGACGGTTTGCATCGACGTTTGGCTCTACGGATAGCTGGGACGAGGCGCATCCTTTGGTGCAAACGAGAGGAGTTGGGGTGACCGAAACTTGACAGGAGCGAGCTTGACGCGGCGGCCGGAGCACAGCTTGCTCGGGCGCGAGGCTGCAGGACACGGGGAGGCCGGATGAAGGACGCTACGGGCTCCTGGGAGCTCCAGGAGTTCAAGTGTATGCTCGGACGCGGCAAACGTGTGTTTTTTCACGAGTACGTCGATGACTTACCATATCTTTATAAAAGAAAGTAATATGTTAACAAGAGTCCTTCGATCCATGCGTACATCACTTGTTGGAGCACCCATTCCTATTTGTGGGAGCAGATTCTTAAACTCAGTCTACAAGACATCTCTGGGAAGGTGTTTAGAGCTTGGGCAATCATGTCACCTGGATGTCTGGGCGCGAACAAAGCATAGCACTTGCGCTTGGGGACGTCGCTGTCACGTGGAAGTCCAGAAGGAAGAGCGAGGGCGGGTCGATACGCGAGAGCACGGGGACGGAGACGGCCAGAGCGGCCCCAGAGCGGCGGACACGCGCCACAAACCACCAACGCAGTACCAAGTTCACTAGGCAGCTCGTGAACCATGACCCGCCCGAGTGGTGCCGCGTCAGGCCGTCAGTTCACCCCACTACACTCCACATACAATCTTCTCGTTTTCGCTTTCTCGCCCGTGATCGATCATTCGAGCTCCTTAAATCCCCCTCCGATCCCCTGCCTTTTCGCCTGCCCCGCACCAGACCTGCCACGCCCGCCGCTCCAGCTGCCCGATCGTCCGTCCAGTCACCACCGCGCCGGCATTGTTTAGCAACTGGCCGTGGCGTATCGATGTCGATGTCTATGCCACGCGCCGGCCGGTTCCTGTTCTGCATTGCCGCCGTGGCAGCGGTGGCGCTCGTCGTGGTGCCGCCGGCGGGCGTGGCCGGGCACACGCGGGGCGTGCGGCCGGGGCGGGCGGCGGGCCGGCCGTTCCCGGAGAACGCGACGCGGGCGGAGGAGCTGGAGCGGCTGTTCATGCGGTGGGTGCGCTACGTGGGCGGCCTCAAGCACAGCACCTTCCACCACGCGCCGCTGGCCCGCGCGTTCCCGTCCTACTCACTCGTCGTCGACAAGGACCCCGCGGCCGGCGACTTCACGTCCGTCCAGGCCGCCGTCGACTCGCTCCCGACCATCAACCTCGTCCGCGTCGTCATCAAGGTCAACGCCGGCACCTACACGTACGTGCATTGCCCCTCGCTGTCCTCCTCCCTTCTGCCGTTGCCAAGCCCTGTTTACCTTGCTGCCTCCATTGGAGGCGAGCTCCGAAGATGCGTGCCTGCATCCAGCCGTCCATGATCAGGGGTTCACGGGAAGGAGGAAGGAGGCGCTTCCTGGAATCGTGTGCGTCAGGGAGAAGGCCCCACGAAGATCAGAAGCCCACTCCTGACTGGCTGTAGCGTAGCGATACTCACATTATCACATTTTCCCTGGATGCTTCAAACTGATTTACCATTGAAAACTTCGAACTATTATGGCATTCTGGCTAAAAAAATTCGCCGTGTCAAGTAAACTGATTTCCACAACTTGGTTGCAGGGAGAAGGTGACGATATCGTCGATGCGCGCGTTCATCACCCTGGAGGGCGCCGGCGCCGACAAGACGATCGTGCAGTGGGGCGACACCGCGGACACGCCCGCCGGGCCGAGGGGGCGCCCGCTCGGCACCTACGGCTCAGCCTCGTTCGCCGTGAACGCGCAGTACTTCATCGCCAGGAACATCACCTTCAAGGTACGTAACTCTCCACCGCCGCCGTCCCTGCTGCTCGGTGCTCCCATGTCCTAATACACGCTTGTGTTGGCAGAACACGGCGCCGGTGCCGAACGCGGGGGCGACGGGGAAGCAGGCGGTGGCGCTGCGGGTGTCGGCGGACAACGCGGCGTTCGTGGGGTGCCGGTTCCTGGGCGCGCAGGACACGCTCTACGACCAGTCCGGGCGCCACTACTACAAGGACTGCTACATCGAGGGGTCCATCGACTTCATCTTCGGCAACGCGCTCTCCCTCTACGAGGTACGTGCCTGCTCTCCTCTTCCTCGATGCCTCGATGCTCCATTGCCGGTCCTTCCACGTATGAGCGAGGTGCAATACCGCGCATGCTGCACAGAGAGAGAAAAACAGAGCATGCACAAGCAGCACAAAAACAGAGAAAAACAGAGCATGCACGAGCAAACATCTGTGTGACACGCAATGCTAGGATTTTGTTCCGTGGCCGGTTGCAGTCGCAATCTTGGCGCCTTCGACCGGCTCGTCACAGCGGCTGAATCATGCATGCACACGGCCTCTTGCTGCTGTCCGTTTGTGCCCCCGGCGCCGCGACCGGCGCCCCGGCGGCCCTACGCCCACATGCTCGATAGACGTCAAATATTTCGGTCTCGTCTCGTGCCCACACTGTGGATCCCCGTGTTTTCTGTTTTTTTTTTCTACAATGTTCACGAACACGGTGGCACTAGAATCTACAGAATGGACGTGTGACGAGGAATGTATATGCATGACTGTGTGCGTGTGTGTGGTGGGTGCAGGGGTGCCACGTGCACGCGATCGCGCGGGACTACGGGGCGCTGACGGCGCAGAACCGGCAGAGCATGCTGGACGACACGGGGTTCTCGTTCGTCAGCTGCAGGGTGACGGGGTCGGGGGCGCTCTACCTGGGCCGGGCCTGGGGCACCTTCTCCCGCGTCGTCTTCGCCTACACCTACATGGACGACATCATCGTCCCGCGCGGCTGGTACAACTGGGGCGACCCCAGCCGCGAGCTGTACGCTCCTTCACTCTTCCTTTCTTTCTTTTCCACCGTCTCCGTCCTCTCCATTCTCCCGGTTTCTGACGGACTGACGGTGGATGATGATGATGCAGGACGGTGTTCTACGGGCAGTACAAGTGCACGGGCCCCGGCGCCAGCTACTCCGGCAGGGTGTCGTGGTCGCGGGAGCTCACCGACGAGGAGGCCAAGCCCTTCATCTCCCTCAGCTTCATCGACGGCACCGAGTGGATCAGGATCTGACCGGGGTCGCGTTCCATGTAGTAGCACGCACACACGGGATGCACACACGTCATGTAAGAAGAAGAGGGAGTGGAAAGACAAAGTTAATTTATACAGATTCTTTGGCAGTCTTGTTTTCGGTGGCGAGTGTGTTTTTTCAACTCGGACAGGGTCCGTGCAGCATGGTACTCGATCGGGCCCTCGCTGGAAACGCATGGAAGACATGATACTCCGTATTTTCGGAACAAGTACCCGAATATTAGGCTAATCCGTTGCTCATTAACAAGATTAGAAGATAAGTGCCCCTGACAATCTAATTGACCGATGTTGTTATTGTGTCAGTGTCATTGTAGACTTTAGTACCAGGTATCTGGTTATGAGTATAAGAAGAGGCTAGGGGTAAGTCAACTGAATATGAAATTAGGGTCAGTTGAATCGTTTCCGGCTTCAGATGAAGATCCAACGATGTCGATACCTTCTCCTACCTCTGAATCGTTTTTCCCTGATCCCAGTTCGTCCTCTACCCCAGCACACCCCGAGCCGCCAGCTATCACTGCCCGCTTAACCGCCTGCCTCCGCCGCCCCTGCAACCACTATCCTTCGAACCCCAGCGATGACCTTTTTTTCGGCGAACTTGCACCATCACCACACCGTACCCCTAAGACAAATAATGGGGTAGCCTACCACCCTAAGATAGACACCGGGGTCGCAGCCGACGACCGCTTCTTTCTTCCCACCATCAGCTCCTTCTTCCTTCCGATATCGACTGGCCCAAATTGTGTTTTCAAGCGTCTGGCCTGCAGCTAAACTGATAAAGTAATCATGGATGACTTGGTTAGAGCAACTCTAAATCACTCATCAAATATGCCCTCCTACATTCAGGTATCAACTCTAGCGAAGTAGCGATCCCATAATGTACTCCCTCCGTCCCGAAATACTTGTCAAAGAAATGGTTAAAATTGGATGTATCTATAACTAAAATATGTCTAGATTCATTCATTTCTCCGACAAGTATTTCCGGACGGAGAGAGTATATAGATTGCACTTTCTATGTACTTCCTTTGTAAACTAATATAAGACTTTTTATATCATTATTTTAGTGATCTAACAAGTCTTGTATTAGCTTACAGAGGTAGTATTTGTCATGTGTAAAACACATAGTCTCCATATGCATTATGTTATTTCGACTCGGACAAGTTTCGTGCAACATGGTACTCGATTTGCACCTCGCTAGAAACACATGGCAAACATAATTACCCATATTTTTGAAGGTTTAATTATTTTGTCTAGACAATAACAAAACAATATGTTAGCCCATTGTTCAAGAACAAGACCATGAGAGAAGCAAACATAATAACCCATGTTTTGATGGTTTAATTATTTGTTTAGACAATCACTAGCCAATACTTATTTTCATAGAAAAAAGACATAAACAAAGTGAATTTATACAGATTCTTTGGCAGTCTTCTTTTGGGCGTCGAGTGTGTTTTTTCAACTTGGACAGGGTCCGTGCAGCATGGTACTCGGACAGGGTCGGGGGATTTTATTTTTTTTACCGCTCAGGTTTGCGAACTCTATTCCATCGCAGCCGATTTCGGCCTTTAAATCACGTTTTCCCTGCCTTTATTTGTGCTTTACGGTCGCGGCTTTAAGGAATCTGTTAGAGATGCGCCTATAAAGATTCACCGAAAGTATGCCCCCTTCCCTTGCCCGACTTTCGGTGTTGAACATATTATGTAGGCCTAAACGCATGTATATAGTTAGGATAATCTCCTACCGGCCCCACCTCTAGTTTCCTTGTATAGATGAGGCTGAGGGCTTCCCTTGTACTTATATACGTGCGCCCGCTCAACATCGAGAGTTGCATTGCCTTTCAACATGGTATCAGTTTCCTTCCCGATCCTAACCTAGCTTTCGCCTAGCCCTAGCCTAGCCGTCGCCGCATCTTATCCCCGCCGCCGCGCGCGCCTCTCCTCCTTTCCCCCGTCCCGATCGCCACCTCTCACCTCCCAGTCCCTGTGACGCCCCCGATTTAATCGTACACTAATCATGCACGCAAATGTGTACGATCAAGATCAGGGACTCACGGGAAGATATCACAACACAACTCTACAAATAAAATAAGTCATACAAGCATCATAATACAAGCCAGGGGCCTCGAGGGCTCGAATACAAATGCTCGATCATAGACGAGTCAGCGGAAGCAACAATATCTGAGTACAGACATAAGTTAAACAAGTTGCCTTAAGAAGGCTAGCACAAACTGGGATACAGATCGAAAGAGGCGCAGGCCTCCTGCCTGGGATCCTCCTAAACTACTCCAGGTCGTCGTCAGCGGGCAGCACATAGTAGTAGGCACCTCCGGTGTAGTAGGGGTCGTCGTCGACGGTGGCGTCTGGCTCCTGGACTCCAGCCTCTGGTTGCGACAACCAGAAAGAAGGGAAAGGGGAAAAAGGGGGGAGAAAGCAACCGTGAGTACTCATCCAAAGTACTCGCAAGCAAGGAACTACACTACATATGCATGGGTATATGTGTAAGGAGGCCATATCAGTGGACTGAACTGCAGAATGCCAGAATAAGAGGGGGATAACTAGTCCTGTCGAAGACTACGCTTCTGGTCACCTTCGTCTTGCATCAAGTATAAGAGAGTAGATTGAAGTCCTCCAAGTAGCATCTCCAAGTAGCATCTCATAGCATAATCCTACCCGGCGATCCCCTCCTCCTATCCCTGAGGTAGAGCGACCACCGGTTGTATCTGGCACTTGGAAGGGTGTGTTTTATTAAGTATCCGGTTCTAGTTGTCATAAGGTCAAGGTACAACTCCAAGTCGTCCTGTTACCGAAGATCACGGCTATTCGAATAGATTAAACTTCCCTGCAGGGGTGCACCACATAACCCAACACGCTCGATCCCATTTGGCCGGACACACTTTCCTGGGTCATGCCCGGCCTCGGAAGATCAACACGTCGCAGCCCCACCTAGGCTCAACAGAGAGGCCAGCACGCCGGTCTAAACCTAAGCGCGCAGGGGTCTGGGCCCATCGCCCTGAGCACACCTGCACGTTGCGTACGCGGCCGGTGAGCAGACCTAGCAACCTCCATTACAAAGGAAGTTGCGTTAACGCAGTCCAACCCGCGCGCCGCTCCGTCGCTGACGTCTGAAGTGCTTCGGCTGATACCACGACGTCGGGATACCCATAACTACTCCCACGTAGATGGTTAGTGCGTATAGGCTCGTAGCCAGACTCAGATCAAATACCAAGATCTCGTTAAGCGTGTTAAGTGTCCGCGAACGCCGAACAGGGCCAGGCCCACCTCTCTCCTAGGCGGTCTCAACCTGCCCTGTCGCTCCGCCACAAAGATCCACACAGAGGGCCGTCGGGACTAAGGTCCTTTCAGCCCCCAATCCGTGAATCACTCGCGGGTACTCTTCGAGCTGACCCGACTTTAGTCACCATCTGTATAGTATGTGTGTATGTATAGTATATACCCGTGATCACCTCCCGAGTGATCACGGCCCAATATTATAGCAAGGCAGACTGACACGAAGGTAGGGCCAACAATGATAAACTAGCATCCTATACTAAGTATTTAGGATTGCAGGTAAGGTATCAACAGATGTAGCGACAATGTCAGGCTATGCATCAGAATAGGATTAATGAAAGCAGTAACATGCTACACTACTCTAATGCAAGCAGTATAGAGGAGAATAGGCGATATCTGGTGATCAAGGGGGGGGCTTGCCTGGTTGCTCTGGCAAGAGAGAGGGGTCGTCAACTCCGTAGTCGAACTGGGCAGCAGCAGCGTCGGTCTCGTAGTCTACCGGAGAGAAGAGGGGGAAGAAACAATGAATACCAAGTAAACAGATGCATATCGATGCATGACATGCCAAGAAGCGATGCTAGGCGTGCCCTAACGTGGTATGAGGGGTACTGGTTAGGGGGAAAAACATCCGGGAAAGTATCCCCGGTGTTTAGGGTTTTCGGGCAGAGGAGCCGGAGGGGAAAAGTTGCAGGTTCGATAGGTTAGGGGTGTGTGGCTGACGAACGGACTGCGTATCCGGAATCGTCTCGTCGTTCTGAGCAACTTTCATGTTGAAAATATTTTAATCCGAGTTACGGATTAAAAGATATGATTTTTAAAAGATTTTAATAATATTGGAATTTAATTATTTATTTAATTAATTCGAGAAAAAGGTATTTATGACGT